CTCCTCCTCCTCCTCGATGACTAGGGGGTGGATGTCATGGGCGGATCCGTGGGAATCCCCCAGATCTCGGGGCCCCTCTTCGCATCTCCGCGCATCCCCTGGCCCCCCCCCTCCCCCCACAGCCGCGCGCATGCCTCGGGCCAGGAGGGGGGGTTCGGGGGCTCCGGTCGTGATCTCTGTCCTACGTCGCCGTGTTTTCGCAGCGTTTCCCTCCCAGAGCGGCCCTCGCTCCCTCCATCCTCCATCTCTTCCTCCTCCTCCTCCTCCTCCTCCTCCCTTCCTCCTCCCTCCTCTCCTCCTCCTCCTCCTCTCCTCCTCCACTCCTCCTCCTCCTCCTCCTCCTCCTCCTCCTCCTCCTCCCTCCGCCTCCTCCTCCTCTCCTCCTCTTCCTCCCCCTCCTCCTCCTTTATCTCCTCCCCTCCTCCTCCTCCTCCTCCTCCTCCTCCTCCTCCTCCTCCTCCTCCTTTATCTCCTCCCCTCCTCCTCCTCCTCCTCCTCCTCCTCCTCCTTCTCCTCCTCCCTTTCTCCTCCCCTTGACCTTCATGCTGGCACAGTTCGCTTCAGCGGCATCCCCGTGGTGATTGCTCCTCCGCCAGCGCAGTTGCTCTGCCTCGCCGCCGGCGCAGAAGCAGTTTTTTTGCAGCGTGGGGTCTGAGGGTCTAGCCGCGCGCCTTGGTGCATCGAGAACAAAGGAACCCCATCCAGTCGAGACTGATTAGTAGGTCGACCCTGCCAAATCAAAAGTATGCTTGTGTTCTGAGCTTCGTGACCCATGCCTTCTTACATTCCTATGGCAATGTGGCCCTCGGTAGGGTCTTGTGTCCTCTCGCGTGTCCTCTCCAATCAGCCCCGACTGTAGTCTTGGTAACACGATGAGGGCGTGGCCTCGCTGGGGTCCCCGTCTTTGAACTAGGGATAATCCACCTGGACGGTTTGGTTCGATACCTCTGTAGAACAGGCCTCCGCATCCGCAAGGTGCTGGTCCCTCCTCACTTAGGTCCCCTCCGAAAGGGTTGGGGGGTACTTCTACTGCCTATCCTCCAACGTCGGACCCCGAGGGTCCAGCCGCGCGCCCAGGTCGTGCCCACTTCGCGTGCCGCGTGCGCGCGCCGCGCGCGCGCCGCCGCCGTGAGCGCAGGCCTGGGGCGCCGTGGGCTACCTGGGCGTGGGCTCGGTGGCGCCGCCGCTGCCGCGCGGCGCGCGCGCGCGGCGGCACGGGCTCGGCTGCGCGACGGCGGGGCGTCCGCGTGCGAACGCTCCGTGCGCGCGCAGGCACGGGCTTGGCGGCGGCGCCGTCGCCGCCGCGGCGCACGCTCGTGCGCTCCCTCAGGGAGCTCCTGGGCGAAGTCCGAGCCCTACCCTCGCCGAGTGGCGATTCAGGGAGCTCGATGGGCGGCGGGGGCAGGGTTCGGAGGTCGTCGAGCGCGCGGCGAAACCCGAGCCCCGCCCCCGCCTCCGATCGATGCACGAGGCTCGATGGTTGGCGGGGGCAGGGGTTCGGACGTCGCCGCTCTACGAAGGCCTCGGCAGGCTCCCGTGTGCGTTTGGAAGCTTTGGATATTCCCTCCTTCTCCTCCCCCTCCCCCTCCTCCTCCTCCTCCTCCCTCCTCTCCTCCTCCTCCTCCTCCTCCTCGTCCTCCTCCTCCTCCTCCTCCTCTCTCGTTTCCTCCTCCTCCCTCGCTCCTCCTCCTCTCCTCCCTCCTCCTCCTCCTCCTCCTCTCCCCCCCCCCCCCCCTCCCCCTCCTCCTCCTCCCCCTCCTCCTCCCCCTCCTCCTCCTACTCCTCCTCCTCGGATCTGGCCGCACTGTTCCAGATGCGGTTGGAGGCTTTCTCAAAGGGGCGGTCCAGGGCTCAGTTCTCGGCCTTCGGGGCGTGTCGCGGCCACCTTTGAGGGCAGTGCTGGCCTCCCGGGTCCTTCTCGTCCCTCCTCCCCTGGTTCCTTCTCCATCCTCCCCCTTGGTCGTCCCATGCGTCGTCCTCTGCTCACTCCTTCCCCTTTTTCCCTGCTCCCTCCATGCCCTTCGTCCGTCCTCTTCACGCCTTCCTCGTCCAGCATCCATGGCCCCCACATTCTACCCCCGAACCCCGATCCCCGCCCTTCTCCCTTCTCCTCCTCCTTCTCCTCCTCCTCCTCCTCCTCCTCTTCCTCTCTGCGTCCTGGGCCTGATGCTCATCCCTGCAGAGCGCCTCGGGGATCGCGTCCGATCTGCCTGCTGACACTTGACTGCCGCTCCGCTGGCTCCACCAACGCTGGCTGGTCCTGCTCCTCGACAGTGGCGTTATAGCAGGGCCGCGTCGTGTCGCCTGGCAGCGACCCCCGCGCGGGCGAGGAGGTTGAGGAGGAGGAGGAGGAAGAGGAGGAAGAGGGGGAGGAGGAGGGCGGTATGTACCCCCCGGACTGGCTACAATTTCGGCCGCCATGAGCGGGGACCGCCCCCCGCCGCTCCCCCGCCCGGTTGAACGCCGCCCGTGGCCCGCAAGCGGCCCAACTTTGAACGGTCCACTGTTTCTCGGTTACACGTAAGAGTGATCCTTCGCCAGAGTGATTTTTGGTGCGTCCCCTCGATCGCTGAGCGTGATGCGAGAGTGGCTGTTTGCGCGCTCTTATTTGGCCACCTTGCGCCCCCTCCATGCACTCACTGAAGGTCACTCTTGCCTAGGGTTACTCTTTCATGCAGCCGAGTTTCTGAAACGGCCGGTCGTCTCAGGTTGAACGATCCCCGCGGTGTCAGGAACCAACGCGGGCCCGCCGCATGTACAGTCGGCCCGGATTCGTAGGTTGACCCTGCCAAATCAAGGGTACCTTTGTGTCCTGTGTCTCGCGACCCGTGCCTCCTGCATTCCTGTGGCAATGTGGTCCTCGGAAAGGTCTTTTGTTCTCTCGCGTGTCCTGTCCAGTGAAGTCCGACTGTATGCTCGTTGGTCGTCGGCCTGCTTCGGCGCACCGCGGGGGCGCGAAGATGATCGCAGCGCTTCTCGGCCTGGGCTGGATCGATTGCACGTGAGAGTGACCATGGGCCGGAGTGACCTTTGGTGTGCGGCTTCAGGGGCGCCCGTGGGGGCGAACTCAACCGCGAAAGCTGGTACTGTCGCGCCGCATCAACGATCGGCGAAAGATCCTTCGCGCGAGCGGGCCACCGACGAATTCCGCCGATTCGGTTCGAACGACCCGAATGGCACCCCGAAGGCGCTGCGAAAGCAGACGCCGTCGGGCGCCACCACGATGAGGTCTGGCACTGCCTGGCCGCGTTGCGATGACGTCTGACCAGGTCTGGCATCGTGGCTAAAACTGGTCCAAAACAATGCACAACATATGCCGTAGTATATCCGTAAGGGCTTCGCCCCCTGCCGCCGGCCCCCTCTCTCGGAGAATGGGCCATGGAAGAGCTAAGTCATGAGGCCTTGGCGCTGTCGTGAAGCAGTATCGAAACTTCATGCGAAGCCGAGTCGCAATCAGCAAAACCAACTGATCACAAGAGGGGTTACCACACCTGGCGATTGGTAAGACGTGTATGGTTTAAGGGCTTGGTTGCCACACCTTGCGATTAAAGGGCCGAGGGAGTTCTCGCAGTTTGGGTTACCACGCCTTGCGATGGATGTGCGTGATGGGTTCGAATTTCAGAAATGTGGCAAATCCCATGTGTTTTTGGACCCTGACCCCGCGGATCTGCGTGAGGGGTGGCACCGAATTTCAGAAATGTGGCAAATCCCTTGTGTTTTTGGACCCTGACCCCGCGGATCTGCGTGAGGGGTGGCACCGAATTTCAGAAATGTGGCAAATCCCTGTGTTTTTGGACCCTGACCCCGCGGATCTGCGTGAGGGGTGGCACCGAATTTCAGAAATGTGGCAAATCCCCTGTGTTTTTGGACCCTGACCCCGCGGATCTGCGTGAGGGGTGGCACCGAATTTCAGAAATGTGGCAAATCCCTTGTGTTTTTGGACCCTGACCCCGCGGATCTGCGTGAGGGGTGGCACCGAATTTCAGAAATGTGGCAAATCCCCTGTGTTTTTGGACCCTGAATGAGGGGTGGCACCGAATTTCGCTGTGTTTTGGATGGACTGCGTGGGGGGTCGCCTGCAGAAAGGTGGTGGCACCCTCAGAAATTGGCCTGACCCACCCTGACCCGCGGATCTGCGTGAGGGGTGTCGATTTCGAGCCCCCCCAGCAATTCAGACAACGCGCCCAGGTGAGGCTAAAAATCCTGTTTGGGCCTCCCCCCCCCTCGCGCGGTCAATCAACTAGTTACAGTAACCAGCAAGAAGTCAACTAGTTACAGTAACCAGCAAGAAGCAGAACTGTAACACTGGAAACTACAACCTACGACTGGTAGAGGAAGCTGCGAATCACGCGCCTACAGCCTGGTGGCCCCACAAGGGGGCCGGCGGATTTTGGTACGTTTGACAAGTGCAGAATCCCTTTGGCCCGAAAAGATATCCAACTATATTCAAAATGTTCAGAGATACATCAGCGCTACGAAAGTTTTGACCCGCTTCGTGTTTCCACCAAGACAAGTCTGAGGCGGGAGCGCCATGGCGAATTCGAGCTGAAGAAGTGCCGACTTCGATTTTCGAGAGAGTCCTGGGCGGGAGCGTCATTTCGGAGTCATACCAGAATGGTGTCGAATTCCAGATTTCAGGACGTCCTGGGTGGGTGCGCCATTTCGAAATCGAACCCGAAAGACTCCGAATTCTGTTGCGGAGGAAGTCTGGACGGGGTCGGCATTTTGAATCGAGCCAGAAAGGTTTCGAAATCTAGTTTGGAGGAAGTCTTGGGCGGGAGCGCCATTGCGAAATTTAACCCGACAATTTCGAGATCGTTCGGAATTGTTTTTTTGTTTCAGGAAGTCTCAAGCGAAGCATGGTTTGGAAAGGGCCACACCGTTTGGCATTCAATCGAACCCGAAAGGCTCCGAATTCTGTTGCGGATGAAATCCTGGACGGGGGCGCCATTTCGAAATCGGGCCAGAAAGGTTTCGAAATCTAGTTTGGACGAAGTCTTGGGCGGGAGCGCCATTTTGAAATCGAACTCGAAAGTTTCGAAATCGTTAGGAAATGTTTTTTTCCAGGTTAGTCTCAAGCGAAATCGTCGTTTCGAATGGGGGTCACACCCTCTGGTATTTGAATTTCCGACCAGAGATTTCGAAAGTGTGGTTTTCGCTTGAGACATCCTCCGGAAAACGATCTCGATTGGATTTCGAAATCATCGGGTTCGAATTCGAAAGGGCCGATCCGCCCAAGACCTGAGCAAAAGAATGTGTGGACAGAGCACTGTACTGGAGCACAGCGGCCTAACGCGCTCCTTGGACGTCTCCTCTTTTGTCGCGGGCGCAACGCCATTGACAATGTACAGGGGCCCCAGCGCCTCATGGGACGCGCTGAGTTTTGGCCGAACAATCGTAGCGGTATTCAAGGACGTTCCAACTAGACGATTGGGGATTTGGGCTGGGATTCGGGACTGGTCCTGGGCGGAAAACGCGCCGCCCGGTCGACCAGCCCCCCCTGGGGATACCAACGCGCGTTTTGCAGGGGGGGCGGGGGCAAACCTGGCGCGCTCTGATGTGAGCGCAACCACGCGCTGCGGTTGCCGACGCGATGCCGAGCTCACCCCTGAAGAAGAAAAATCACCCGACCCCCTTCTGGCCAGCACCACAAGTCACTTTTGCAGCGGTTCACTCTTGCGTAGCGCGCGAGGTTCGGTGGTCCACGTTGGCTCAGCCAACAGCGCGCTGGTCCTCCTTCAGTGGGGGGCGAAGTCTACCTGCTCTAGTAGGCAGCTATATCGGGTCTAGGCCAGGTACGTTTCTTGCGTTCTAGCCACAAGCGTCTACAGACATATTGGGTGCACTTGTCATGCGTCTATAGATGTAACGTGACCGTCGCGTTCGTCGCAGTACAAGGTCGGAGGGGGGTAGATCCGTCTACGGTAGGTTCCTGCTTCAGAACAGGTCCAGCATCGTGACACGCTCTCATCGAACCGATCTGCATGCTATCCCCCACACGTGTCCGACAACACTCGCTCAACATGGACATGCACGCTCAAATCTTTAATTTTTTCTGGAATAGCGTGCTTTCCAGATACCCATCGGTCGTCGAAAGTAGGCATGTTTGGAGTCCCAGCTTCCAGTCCACTTTGAGCGCCTTCCTACTCCGATAATCGAGTGGCTTCACCGCTT